TCAGCACACCATTTGTATTTTACATATTCATATCCTGTGCAATTTTATCACACCGGTCTGAAAATACTGTAAAAAAAACTAAAACTAAGGTAGTTCGGTAATTACTACCAGAGAACCTGTCTGCAACCATTTAACTGTTATTAAAACCCTTTTAAAGAGAAACACTAATAATTACAAATGGCACATTTTCATTTAGACTCTGCAGCGTTTGCAGAGAACAAAATGCAGTTTTATTTGAAGCTGTGATTTGAATCATAGGTCATTCTTTGACAAAATCATTAATAAACCCTGCTGCAAACTTCAGGGGCAGATATGACTTGTGCAATGGAGCAGGTTGTCCTTTGATCAGGGGGTTGGCATTGCAATACATGGTCTCATCCACAGTACATCATACTCTGAAGCCAAAATTGCCTACATTGCAGGGGAGCACCTTGAAAGGTGGCTCAACCACTATCTGTGATTGTATGTGTTACTGTGTGACAGAAAACATATCATAAAGGGCTTTGTAGAAACTAGTTATTTATAGAAGGTCAACAGTGAAGTGTAAACTGTTTGTTTAGAAGCAGTGCTGGTTTCTCTTTGTCTTTTTTATAATACAACTGAAAGTTAAACCTCATAGGTTGAGAGTGATCAGTGCTATAATGGAGCGTTTTGAAAAATATGGTGTTGAGATGAACAAAAATTAAAAATACTGACTAAATTCTTTCTGCAGCTCTGGCTCAGGTGGTTAGTTGAAGTCACTTTCCAATTTGCCCTTTCAGGTGGGCTTTCATGGAACAATTTAGCTTACAAGTTAAGAGATCCAGCTCAAATTATTCTGTAACATTATACAGGAACAAAATATAGCCAAATATTTGTTATTAGCATAACTTGTTTTACAAAGACACACCAATGTAATTCTTAGACAGTATTAACTTACAACCATTATTTAACAAGGCAAGTCCAGTTGAGATCACAGACCTTTTTTTATAAGGGTGGCCTGAAGGCAACTTAATCATGCATGTTCTTAGACTGTGGGAGGAAATCAGAATACCCTGAAAACAAAAATCCACAAAAACACAAGCAAACTCCACACAGATAGACCCCAGGTTCAAACTGGTGCTTCAACCCAGGAACTTGCTTTTGTGCTGCCTTATCACAGATATATAAACATGTTACCTTATATGTGATGAAACATAACAATCTGTCTCATGTAATAATTTGTCCACAAGCTCTTTATGTATTTTACATTTCTCAAATTCCCAAAATTTGGCCTCATGATCCATTTTTTTAATGTTCAGGATCTGTACTGGTCCATTTCATTTGTAGAAGACTTGACATTTGAGATCTTGAATTTACAACTTCAATCCAGAAACAAAAAACAAGAAAGTAATTGTCCTTTTTTATGCTCAAAGCTCCTTTAATCAGCAGCTGGCTCTACTTAGCATCACAATGGAGAAATCAGCCATATCTCAGCCCACAATCTGTTGGACATGTGGGCATCAATACTAGAGCTGAAGTTGACCTTTTTGATGAAATTTACAAACCAAATCAATAAAAGTGTGGCATTGTTATGCAAAACTATATAAGAAGCCTGGAATAACTAAACAGATTTGCTAATGTATAATCTTTATTGCAGAGACCTGAAAGAATGGATGGCTGTCCTTTTAGTTAGGAGCAATTCTTCACACACACACACACACACACACACACACACACACACACACACACACACACACACACA